GTGTGTGTGTGTGTGTGTGTGTGTGTGTGTGTGTGTATGTGTGTGTGTGTATGTCTGTACCAGCTATTGAACTCTGGATACTCAACCTCTGAGCCATATCCTCATCGTTATTTTGTATTTTTTTAGAGACAGGGTCACACTGAGTTGCTTTTGCACCTTACTTTTGCTGAGGCTCTCTTTGAATTTGTAATACTCCTGCTTCAGCCTTTTAAACTACTAGGATTATAGGTATGCACCATACACACGCTAAAAATTTGGTTTCTTCTAATTATTTTCTGCAACATGTACAAATATTCCAAGATAATTTTAGATATCTTAAAATCAGTATACTAACGAAGGTGTGAAATTTTTTCCCCATCATATGCCATCACATAGAAATGGGGCTTTTACAAAAATTCATTTCCCTTAGTTTTTTTAAAAAAATCTTGTATTAAGAATATTTTGTAAGCAGAAGTAATAAGAACCTGAGTGAAAATATGGCTTTTTGGAGCTGAGGTTGTGGCTCAGAAGTAGAATGCTCACCTAGCGTGTGCGGGGCCTTGGGTTCAAAACTCAACACCATGTAATAATAAATAAGTAAAATAAAGGTATTGTGTCCAACTGCAACTAAAAAATAAATAATTTTTTAAAATATGGCTTTAAATATAAGTGTATATTTCTGTGGCTCAAATTCAGGATTGAATAAAAATTAAAGAATTTTTTTTGTTTCTTTCTGAGGATAAATACCGAAAAATTAAAAAACACTTTGTTACAATTCAGGATCTCTCCAATGATTAGGAGAGATACCAGATGGAAATAAATATTTTTGTACTTACAAATTGGAGTCAAGCATAGTCTGGACATAGCTTCACACTTGCTGTCTACTTCTGGGTCTGGCATTGCTGCCTCCTCTAAGTCTTGTAAAAGAAATTGAAGTTAAAATGTAAAAGCTAAAGTGTAAAAGACTGGACATTGTAAAGTTTCCAAGCTGCAGGGTCTGAGTTAAAAAGTGAAGGACCAGGTATTGTTAAATTCCTCTGTTAGGACAATACCCAGACTGCCCAGTAAATCTTCCTCCTGATCCTCTGGCTGTTTAATAGCTAAGGGCTCTGAGTAGCCGGCACATAGGCATCCAGGCCCCCAAACCAATCAGTTTGAATGTGTACCCCGCTTAGAAGTGACCAATCACCCCTGCCCAGACTGTTCCCGCCAATGAATGTACTAAATCATGTCTAAGAGTTGTTGTTCAATTTTCCCATGCCTCATGATGATTTGTTCTGATGTATGCAAAGTCCCCGCCCTCCCCCAAAAGTGTACTTAAGCACTGTTTGACCTCTGCTCGGGGCTATGGTCTGCTCTCGCTTCTTGAGCGAATCTGCCTGTAGCCTCAGCGTGCTGAATTGGATCCTCAATAAACTCCCTCCTGCTTATTGCATGAAGCCAGTCTCTTGTGGTCTCTTCCTCCAATGTTTCGCTGGACCCTTACAGTCTGACTGAGTCAACTTTTATTGGCACCTGATGCTGACTTAGCCTCAAATGTAACAGAGGAGTCCAGACTGTACCAGTCATTTCCCTGCATGCATCTCTTGTAATCAGGTGGCTGAGACATTTCAGCTGGAATAGTGAGCTATAGAAAGCTCTGAGAAAGATCAAGTGTGAAGATGTGAATTGTACTTAAAGGACACCCACTGCCTGTAGTGCAATGCTGAGTGTTTCCTTCATTCTTTTACTGGCAGTGTTCTGCAGGGTCAAGAAGGGGATGTTCCAGGCACTTCTAGTGGTTGTGAAGTGGCACCCTCTTTCTCCACAGAAAAGCCCTCTTCACCATCGCTAATTTTAGGACTGTCAGAAAGAGTCCATTGTAGATAAACTTCCTATTTTCGTGTCACCCTGTTTACTTGGCCACTGGCCGAGAAGATACTAGCACTCCAGGTGCTGGACACCCCCTTACTAGTTTTCACAAACGTATCCAGTATAGTACTTTGAATAAATGTGCAAACAAGGCCTCTGGCCTTGAGCTGGGCTTCAGAGAGATGTCTACATTTTTAAGATAAGTTACAAATTGGCCCATGGTAACAGCTGGCAGGGGGAGGAAAGAAAAGGGAGATGAAGCTCTCCCCTTCTCAGGTGTTGTCCTTGAAGAGTTAACTTGACCATAACAGTGAAAGCAAAAGCTGCTTTTATGTGAACTTCTGCAGACTGTGAACTTCTGAGCCCCTCCCCTTACACACTGGGTATAAAACTCTGAAACTCCCTGAACTCAGGGTTGAGGGAATTGATTGATTACAGCAAAGGCTATACCCTCTGAACCTGGCTGCAGCCAAATTAAACTGTTTCCTGCTATCTTCGGTGCCTTGCCTCATTTGTCCCTACAACAGTTGCAACTGCCCAGGAGAAGTGAAAATGTCTGGCTGCCAGCACCTAATGTTGGCCTGTGGGTCTCTTCTCTACCTGTGAGCTGCATCCTGTGATGCAGACCTCTGACATCAGTCCCAGCACCAGGCTTGTGAGAGCCCATAGACAGTGACTCAGAGTAATGTGTGGAGGTCAGGAGGAACTCATAAGGGAATGAGAAACATGCTTTCTTTTAGAGTTGACCTGAGAGTGACCCTGTGCCTAAGAGACTGATAGTTATCCTGCTTAGGTCCCAGGGTTATCTGGGTGGGATAGGGCCATTGCTGGAAAAGACACCTGTGAACCTAACAGGTGCATGAACCAGAGAAGACAACTTTTTTTAAACCTGTTTGATGGGGTTCATGTCACTTGCCATGCAGAAGACTCTCATCAATAGAGATCACCATGAAGCCACTAAAATTTTACTTTGTCCCCCAACCTATCCCTGTTGCTGAAAATTGACTCTAAGATCCTATTAGCTACAATTTCTCTGTCTATAACTGTCATGGGGGGGGGAGGATTGTGAAGTATTCAGTTGAGGGGAGAAATAAAGAATGTCCACATGCTTCTGCCCCTTTCAGTGCTTTATTCACTCAAACTACTCAATACAGTTTCACTCTATAGGTTCTGAATCAAGAAAATGACAATCCTTAATGCTAGGCACTGCAATAGACATAATCAATTCACAGAAAACAATTCTAGATTAATTATAAGCACTGCAAAACAGGCTTAATCAGGATAGGCTAATGACAGACATTCCCTCTGCATGCTAAGTTCAAAAGTCTTAAGCCTTAGGCTTTATGTCCAGCAGATTCACACTAACTCAGACTCCGGTGACCAGGTCCGGAACCAAGGCAGGCTTCTTCTGGCTTGAAGTGGATGATCAGTTGAGGAGAGGGAGAAGTTGCAGCTCTCAGAAAGTCCGAATGAGGCAGTAGATGTTGAGAGCACTGAGGATCCTGTAGAGGCTTAGGAAATGATGACAAGTGATGGGATGTCAGGTCCTCATCAGACTCTCCAGCTCCAGTTCATCCTTATTTCTGCTGGCTGAAATCCTGTTCATTTGCTCCATTATTTATACTAAATTTGGGGGCTTTTGACCCCCCCTTTCAATCCTTATCAGCTGGATTACTCAGTGACATTATTTACCTTGGGGTCAGAAACAACTGTCTGGTGGTCTCCACCCTAATCTTCTCACCTTACCCTCTTATCAGGTGAGGACAGCCTGCCAGGGGCTTCACTCTGTTTATCTGGGTGAGGGGAAGTAACTTGTTTTTGGCTATACTGGAGGGCTCTGTGGGTATGCCTGGTGAAACTGTGGGTTTCAAACTGGAGTTTTTAAAATGGAGTTGCTTAGGTTAAGGCCTAAGACCATCCAAACAATACCCCAGGTACTCTACCTTTTCCTAGCTATGCCCTGTGAACATTGTGTGCCCTGGGTGGGAGGGTCCTCTGTGTTTAGATGATTGAACCTACCTAGTGTGTGTGTGTGTGTGTGTGTGTGTGTGTGTGTGTGTGTGTGTGTGTGTGTGTGTGTTCAGCTCAGGTTGCAGGGATGCGAAGAAACTCAGCAAGTTTCACATTCATAGAACCCTACACATCTGGATGTACTTTACAACAACTGCATAATCTATGCTGTAATTCCTCTAAGGTCCTTCAGGACCATGGCTATATTCAGTATTTGTTCAGATTCAGGCATGAGCTCATTGCCTTCTGAGACAACTTGCTTTATTCAGCTGATTTACTACACAATATCTTCTCTGATAGTGGGGGCACAGCCCATTGTGGCTGCTGAAGTCTTCCTTGCACTTAACCCATAGAAGGTGAGAGAATCAATCCCCTGACAGACATGGCTGGTAGGCCATATGGGTCCTTTCTGAGCACAGTATTCCTCTCTGATGGCTCAGCACCAGCCACCCCAGAACTAGAACAGGGCTAGGGACCACAATGGCTTTGGTGCCAGTAAAAGATCCAGGAAAGAGTGTTCCTTATTGTAAAATTGAAACTTTCAAATACCCAGCTTGAAGTGTCCTGAGAGCTGCCTTTAAGCTGTCAGGTCTACAAGCCACAGGAAAGAGCATTGCATGCCCTCAAGGCTCATCCTGTGGTCTCAGCTCCTGCCCCACCTCTCTGAGCTCTGGCTTCTTCTATCTCTACTTCCTAGGATCTGGTGAATGCTCAATAAAATACTGCTCATAAAGTGTTAGCACAGGCGTTCACTTAACACAGGCTGCACAGGGTAGCTTCTGTCATTGTTATTTTTATTGAGGACAACAAACATCACCTGCACAAGGGTATAAAGCAGGCAGATCAGGAGTACAACTCCAGTTATGTTGCTTCCTGAGAGAGGTAGGACAAGCCCCAGTACCTAGGAGCCCTGTTTCCTCAAGGTTAGAGTGGGTAATTGGAGGGTGAAACATCAGCAATCTGAGTCTTCCTTCAGGGCTCTCTGCCTCATTCCTGCAATAGCTCCATTGGTAGATGGCCTCCCAAGCTGGCAGGCCCAAGGGCTGGTGGAGGGGGACGGTTAAAAAATTTGAGAGCTGCTTCCAAGTGCAGAACCCTAGAAAGGATGGAATTCAATAGTGCCCATCAATAGCTCCTTACCCCAAGCAGTAGTACCACATCATGCTGTCACATCTAGTGGTAACTGATGTCCTTCCTCAGAGGTGAAGCATTAATTTCCTTTATGGGTACCAGTTTGATCATGAGGTGGCTCAGAGTATGAGGATCCTCTACAAGAGATAGAAAAGGCCAGTCCTGGATCATTTGTGACAAGGTCATCAAGGGTCCATTCCAAGAAAAAGAAGGAAGACAACCTCAGAAAGAAACACACACTGTGAGGGGTGCATTGGGAAGGATAGTACAAACTTGGGGAATTTTAATGTGTTTCCTGTGCAAGGAGATGTGGGTTCCTGCCAGGCACCTACATTTCTGTGGTGTGAGCGATTTAAGAAAATTGGCTCTCAGTCTATAGAGACTCTCACAAGTGTGGTCTTCATCTACTCCTACACTGCAGATTTAAAGAGGATATATTTATTCAAAATCTTGATTTGAAATCCATGTTTGTTGTTGTTGCTTTAATCAATCTGTTTTTATGCTAGTTTTCATTTGTATCTCCTACTTATTATGTTGATATTTGAAGTAACAATCATCCAGCCAAAGAGAAAGATAAAGTGAACTAACTAGAACTATAGAAGTCATGACATATTCCTTTGAAAACAAAGGGAGCTCTTAAGAGAAGCCAACATGGCTTTTCTACTACATACAGGTTGGAGGGAGATAAATATTTGCCAAATGGAAAAAGCATGCTACTGAGGAAAGACAAACTGTTCTTCAGCTTCTCAAAAGCCATGCAAAATAGAAACCAAAACCAACAGGGAATACCTTTAAAGTCTCACTTTTTGGGAGTCCCATAGAGGGTTTGAAATTTAACACAAAATATATCATTATTTTTTAAGCCTTCATTTTTAGAGATTGTTAACTCTTCCAGTTGATTTTTCAGGTCATGGAGAAAGCTGCTAGTAATTTTAACCCTGCCTAAAGAAAACAGATCATTTCATTTGTGAGCAAACATTCATAGACTTGGACAACAACACTACAATAGCCTATTAATCTTAGAATAACATGTATCCCTTTCAAACTCTGCATATTTTTAAATAAGAGTGAGAATTCAATTAAAGATAGTTGACTATATTGTAATAAGATGGCATTGTAATCACATGGTATTAACTGGAGCACATAAAAATAAACTTTGTTACTTTAAAGACTTTTGTACACTAACAGAATAATATAATTTAGCTACCCATTCTAAAAATGCTGAATGCTATTAATATTGTATAATATCCTGGAAATATTACCTCTTTTTTGGAAGAGAGACTAAACATTTTTATAATTGTTTTGCATATAATTTTAGTATTTTTGTCAAAAATTTAGATATTTAATTTAAAAAAAAAAAGAACCAAAACTTTACTTTGTATAGCAATACAGGAAATAGGGTATTGATTTTAAACTTTATGAAGCCAAGCAATTACGTACATTTATAATACAGGTCAATTAATCTATAAAATGAATTAAGTTTCATCCTGCATGCAGAAGCTACCTGTACATACTATTTCATATTTTCTCTTTTAAGTTGCTTTCAGAAAGGAGATATTCAACCTTGATAAGTGCTACATCTCATAGACTAGTGGAAAAGATGTAAATTGTGTGTTTTGAGTTGGAGGCTGTTCTGGGAAACTCCTGAAAATTCAGTTTAAAACTGCTATGGAAATACAGACAATTCCAATTGTATGACACTTTTATGAGGGGTTTTTAATAGAGATAATATTGTACTTAGTGACCACACACACCTATGTGCACATAGGAGAAATGTGGAAATTGTAAAGTAATGAAAGTGAATTCTCTAAAGCCCGGTTGAAACTAATTGTGAAACTTCCAGTGGAAATGCACTGCAATTGCCATTTGATTTTAAATGACAGCAGTACAAATGGCACATGTGCCTAAAGATTGAGAACTTGCCCACATGATCTGAAATGAACTCATGGATCATAATAGTTCATCTAGGGACTAATTTCAAGGAGCACAGTGATAATTAAAGTACATCATCAATTGAAGCTGCCTGTAGGTACTGTTACAGTACTGCTCTTTCAAGTTATTCTCACAAAGTACATATAAAGTTCTGTTGATTTTTTCATCTAACCATTTGACAGGAATAATTTTAACAGTTTGGCATTATTTTAGTGGGAAATGAGAGTCAGAAAACTGAGATATGAAATCAACAGTTTATTAATAGCACCAGCTGCTCAGAGGGATTATTTCCAAAGCCTGAGTCCTGAGCGTAGCAGAGCTTTTACTTCTATACATAAGTTACTCCTTAGAAAAAGAGAAGGGGTATAAAAAATACTTATAGAAATGAGGGCTGGAAACTTACCAAATTTGATATAAAACAGAGTCATCTTGTTTCAATGCTTCCCCTTTGTAAAAGGGTATGTGGGGGGAAGATGGATATATTGGTGTGTGTGTGGGGGGGGTGATGGGCATAGGTGCGACACATGCAGTTGAGGGGAGAAATAAAAAATGTACATGCACTATGCTATTTTCAATGCTTTATTCACTCAAATATCTCAATATAATTTCACTCTATAGGTTATTTTGTCTTTCAGTATTTAATTTTAGTTGTACTTGGATACAATACCATTATTGTATTTTATTTTTATGTGGTGCTGAGGATTGAACCCAGTACCTCAAACGTGCTAGGTGAGCCCTCTACCACAGAGTGACAACTCTTGCCCTTCTACAGGTTCTTAATAAAGAAAATGACAATCTTTAATTCTGGCCACTGCAATAGACATAATCAATTCAAAACAAACAATTCCAAGTCAATTCTAAGCACTGTAAACATACTTAATCATGAAACATTTATTACAGACATTCCCTCTGCTTGCTAAGCTTAAGTGCCAGATCTAGAGTCTCAAGTCTTGGGCCTTAAGTCCAGCAGATGCACACTCACTCAGACTATAGTGATCAGGTCAGGAATCCATGGAGGCTTCATCATGGCATGGAGCTGATGAGTGGTTGAGGACATAGTGATAAGGAGAAGTCCTTATTCTCATCAGGATCAAGATGTGGCTGTGGAGTTGGAGAATGGTGAGGAGGATACAGAAGATCAGGTAGATAATGAAAAAAGTTGGGATGTCAGTCCACGTGTCCTCATCAGGCTCTCCAGGATGGGGCATCAGTGTGGCTTGATGGAATGTCTCTTCATTTGCTACATCATTTATATTAAATTTTGGGGTTTCTGCTTGCTCTTTCAGTCCTAATCACATATGACTGGGTCTCTTAGTGATGTCTTTCACTCTGGGGTCAGGACATCTGGTCTGGTGGTTTCTGCCCTGATCTCTCATCTGTGACCCTTATCAGACAAAGGCAAATAACAGTGACTTCACTCTGAGTTTTATCAGGGTTGTGGGAAGTGACTTATTTTTTCAGGCCATGCCTCATGACAATATTAGAGGGCTCTGTAAACTTGTCTGGTAGGGACTCCAATTTTATTTTAACAAAGAGTTTTAAAATGGAGTTGCTTAAGCTAAGGCCATCCTCACACTGTGTGTATAGACATGTTCCCAAAATTTCTCTTAAAGTTTAACTTACACTAATTTTACAAACAAAAATACTAAAAACATACAAAAATGTCTCTTGAGGGTTATTTCAGTTTTTATACTTAAGTTTTATAAGGTTGTAATAATAATGTATCAATTTGGGTTTTTTTGGCTAAACCCTCTAGATGAAGAGAATAAAATAAAATTGGAAAATTTTTATTTAAAATTAGCATAGGTAAATAAGCATAAGAGAAATTTCACTTTTTTGCTGAATTGATCAAGGCAAGAACATATTATATGGAAGAGTAGAAATTTCAAAGAGAAGAGATCCTGAAAGTAATAATCCCGGAGAAATAAAAATTCCAAAGGTAATAAGAATTTTCAAACGCTATGAAATTGATGGATCTCAGAGACCTACAAGGAAGCAGGTGATGTCTGGTTTCCAGGAGAAAAGAATATTGAATAGACTGAGGTCTTCTCTGACAGGGTGAACAAGTGGAGTTGGAAGGAAGGATCTAGAAGGTCCAGGAGGATGGACGACATGGTGACTGAAGGGCAGGGCAGAGGTGTGGTGCTGACTCTTCTTCTTGTCCTTCCCCAAATGACAGGAGTCCTTTGTGATGAGAGAGCACAGCTCTGTGACATGGGCCTGGGCCCTACTTTCCATTGCTTCAGACATTCAGGACTCATTTGTCCAAGTGACAGTGCAATTTAGATGATGGAGAATTCTCTCTTTCCTCTAAATAGAATTAATGTCACTTGGCTGAATCCCAGCTTCACCACCTGGGCGATGGATATGATCCTGGCCTTTGCATGTGGACTGGGGATCTTTCTCCTTTTATTGCCCCGCCTCCAAGGTAATCCATCCTTCCCACAACCAAGGGAAAAAGAAAAACTCAGGAAGGTAAGAACTCTCAGGTCACACCCAACAACAACAAAAATGATTCTCTTTTGTCTACTTTCCACTTTTCCAAGATAGGTAGACACACTTCACAAGAGAAATTTCAGGACAGAATAGAGAATCATTCTGGGGTAGACAGGGCAGGGCATGGAGAGAGAGTGCACTAGGATTTCTCCTATCTGAATGTCTCAGACCATACAGAGAGGTCTGGACTCCTGAGAGTGCTGGGTACCTCTAGAGAAGGACAGGCCCTGAGCACTGCTCCGTCACCTTCTCCTGGTAAGTGTCTCTGGAACAAGGCTTCCCTCTGTATTGGGCTGATGTGGGCCTGAGGGCCTCCATCACAGGCTCTCAGGTCATCTCTGGCCTTAGGAAATAGAACCATGCCTGGCACCTGAGAAGAGCCTGTGGAAATGAGTACATTTTTAAGCAGAAGATCAGTGACTGACAATATTAATGGTGTAGTTTATTCAGAAAAATCCCCTTTTCTGCTTTCCAAAGAAAAAAATAAAATATTTTGCCTCTGTAATAATGTTCTCTGAATAAAAGGGTTTCCACTAGGTAACTGTAAAAGTTCTGCTGTTCAGAAACATGGAATGTCTACAGCTGGTCTAGGAGATCACAGGGAGAACTGAGCCTCAGCCTCTTTTTCTATATTGTCTGTCAGCATGTGAAGGTGAAGAAGGTGCTGTACAAGAACAGGAAAAAGAGTGGAACTCTGAAAGGTAAGGTACCCTTTCTCTAAGGGTCCAGATCAGTGTCCCAGAGGATGTTGGTTGCAGAGACCTGAGAGGGAAAATGCTGGAAAGGAAATCATCATACCAGAGACACTTCTCAGATTCTGTTCTTAGAAGGTGTGGTGGACGAGAGATGTGTGATGTCCAGTACGGTGGTGTTGGTGGCACTAGAGCAGCAGTGCCTAGATATGGAGGTGGGACGTTCAGGTACAACTGAGGTCAAGCTGTTTCATTTGGTTAAGGCCAATTTCTCTTTGAGGTAACCAATCCTTTAACACGATAAGGTGCTTGTGAGGATCATGGAGGTGGATGGAGGTAAAAACACCCTGCAAATGATAAAATGTGGCTCTTCCCAGAGTCTTTATATGACTCTCACTGGTCATTTAGACTTGGACACTGAGGCTTAGCCTCCAGTTTCATCTCTCATGATCTCCCCCAAAGGGGCATTGCACTTAACATCCTGTAAAATCTGGGATCCTCCCTTCTCTACCCAATTCATTTTCCATTTTCAGCTTCAGGCAATCGCCTGAAGAATCTGATGGAGATTCAGAATCTGATTTTACTCCTGCAAAGGTGAGGAACTTTCCAGTTCTCCAGTGTTTTTCCCATCAGGATCTGTTATGTGATCACTGGGGTTCAAGGCTGATTTAGAAGTAATACTCCAGATCATAGTGGAATGTGACTGAAGTCCTGGTGGTAGGAATAGGAAGAGTTTGGTGAAGATAGTGTGGGGGGCAGTCGAGGGTCCATAGGCCATAGGTTTTCACCCCTGCCCAGCCTCTTGGTTCTTCCTGCTCCTGGCTCTAGCTTGTGCCTCTTGTCTCCTGCAGTCTCCTAGGGAAGCTTTGGGACAAGGACAGTTCTCCTCTACTGGTATTTGAAGATACTGCAGGTGAGGTGTTCATGCAAGAGCCTACTGAAGTTCAAAAGCTACCTCATCAACATTTGGGAGATCCTTCTACCATCTTACCCCCATTGGGTTCTCTAGCTCCTCTGACAAAACACACTCTGCCTCTGGCCTCATCCTTATCAGAAGAACATGAACACAAGTCTGACTTGAATAGAATCTCACTGGACATTGTTCCACAGAGCTCCCTTGTAGGTCACTCATATTGGGCATCCCTGATCACAGCCATCTCAGGCCTAGACTGCATAAGCTATTCAATTTCATTCCTCTCCTGGTGGTGGGAAACTGCAAAGCTCTTATTCTTCTCTACCTGGGTAAACAAATCCAAGCAAGAACATCTTTTCCACCATCCTTCAGATGTCACACTCTGGGTAGACCCCACACGTTGGCAGGTAGAGCCTGGCGGCCTCTCTTTCATCAACTCTGATGTACAGACACTGCTGGAAATGCTGATCACCAAAAGAGTGGAACTAAAAGTATGGAATAAAAATTCTAAAAATGGGTCCTCTTTCAAACAAATGAGTCCAGATTACACCCTGTATTCTCTGGGAAACATGTTGGAGTCACTGGGTAGCAAGAGAGACACCACTGCACAAACCTTCTGGAACACAAAAGAAAAACCAGAGAAGCTTCATGATTCTCAGAATTTCTTTTACAACAAGGACTTGGGGGGGCCTTTAGAGAAAAAATACAGCCAGCTGTTCTGGGGCCTGCCCTCTCTGCACAGTGAGTCCCTGGTGGCTACTGCCTGGGTCTCTAAGAGGTCCTCTACTGCACAGTGTAAACATGTAGCATTCAACAAAGTCTCAGAATCTCTCTCAGTACAATATCAGGATGAAGAACCTCCACAGCTTTCCCAGGAGGAGCCCTTGGCCCAGGAAGAGGCCCAATCCCAATTTTTGACACAAAACTTGTCCCCATCTGTGGCTCTGGGTCAGACTCTGGCTAGCATTTCATACACTTTTCCAAACTTACCACCTTCTTCATCCCAGATTAAGTCTGGCACAACTAGCAATAACTCTGAAAAGGAGGCACAGTCTTTCCTCCCAACTGAAGATCAACATTCAGAATGTCCCCTGCAGAACCGAAGGAAATGGAAGAAGGTCTTATTCTCTGAGATCAAAAAGACTCTGGAAGTCATTAACCAGCCAGCTCTCAACCTTCCCCAGAGAAGCGGGGCCTCCCAAATTTCCAACTTTGTCTCCATAGTTGCTGGGGATTCTGCCAACCAGGAGCTAGAGAAAAGACTCCAGCAACATATTCAAGGAGAGTTAATCAGTGATCAACCACAGCTAGACATTCACTGTAGATTTCTAGCATCTAAGGAACAAATGCATCCTCAGGATAAATTTCCAGGGAAGAGTCAGTGGTGGAAAAATGACAAGTCTGGCTCCTCACAGCCTAGCCAGTCAGCACTTACTGATAATGATCTGCAGAAGATGGAGCAGCCCAGCCAGTCAGCACTTGCTAGTAATGATTTGCAGAAGATGGAGACTAAGCACTCTGAAAGACTCTCTACAATGGGCTCTATAACATTCAAACTAGAGTTCCCAAACAAGGGTCTAGAACCAGAACTCCAGAAGCAGACAGTAGATTTGTCCTGGAGCTCAGGAAGCACCTCAGGGAAGGCTCAGAATGATAATAAGGAGGTTTCAGAAAGTTATTTGAGGAGGACTAGGAAGGATATTTCACAAAGTGACTTATCTACAGGCCTAGAAAAGAAAATTGTGGAAAAAATCCTGCAAGACCATCTGAGCAGAAAGTTAGTGCAGATCAAGGAGGGCATGATCCCAGTGTGTGTGCGTGGATCCTGGCTTGCTGCCAACTATGCTCTTCCAAAGTACACAAAACCCATCTATCTAGCCTCCTCCAAGTACCAGCAATCCTATGTAAACACTGTTAAGCAGCTTTCTTTCCTTGACCCCGGAACTCACCTGAAGCTAGAAACAGATATTATGAGGTCTCGGGTGAGGCACAGGTGGAATCCATCACTCCAGGCTCTTGATACCATTAATTGCAACTTAGGTGAGGCTCAAACCTCACCCCTTCCACAGCCTGCTATTACCTCCTCAGCCTCCAGTGACTACAGAGCCATTTCCATTGCCAAAATTGGCAGTCTCCTGGAAGAACTTCCTCAGAAAGGTGTGGGAAAGAGGATAATAAGAAAAATTTCATTTCCCACTTTACAGAATCCTCTTCCTGCACCCTCACCTTCAGAGGTACAGAGTACCATGCAAGAAACCCCACTGGGTGGCAGTCAGAGGACCTCAGATGCCTGTATACCTTCTCGAACCTATAGCCATCTGCACATAAACCAACAGAGTAGAGTTACAAGGGGGATTGGAAAAGCTAGCCTGGAGCCCAATCCAAGCCTGGATATGACCGGGATTGAGACACAGAAAGAGACTAAGGATGTGGCCTCAGAAGACCCATGTTCTGGTATGACAATGCTGGAAATTAAAGTAGGGACCCAATCAACAGCTGGAAAGACCAAGGAGACAGATGTGGAGAAGAAATCGTGCGAATGGGAAGTGACCGTGGGAGCCTCTGTGATGGCAAACTCTCAAACCATCAATGTGAATGTGAAGAACATAGGGTCTCTTGGAAACATGAATAGCCCCTCTCCTTCTAGAATTTCTATTTCACAAGATCCAGGAGACCAAATCCTGAAAGAAAATATAGGTAATGTTGTTCAGCTCAAAGTGGAGTTTGAGTCAGAGGAGCAAGAGACACAGGAGCAACCCCAAGACATAGTCACTAGAGTGCTGCAAGATTGCCACACTAATGAGCTCTCCACCACAGATATTTTACCATCTCAAGTGTACCTGTCCAATTCCAAGAGCTTTTTCACGATTCACAAGTCAATTTCCCAAGCTCTATGTGATGATGAAATGAAGGCAGAGAGCAGCCAGGAGCAGGAGGAATCCAAAGTCACAAATGTTGAGGTTCCTGGAAAGGAAGACACTGAAAAGATTTGTATAAATGAAAGCCAAGACACTGAAAAGATTTGTATAAATGAAAGCCAAGAGAGCTTTGGGAGGTCCAGACCAAAAGAGGAGGAAGAAATTTCCCAAGACTGTGGGTTGAGTCCTTTTGACAAAGTCCAGGAAATAAACACTACTTTAAGCAAGTCCTTCCCTTGCCTTCCAGAAAAGGGACAGATTCCTCCAGTAAGCTATGGCAATATCAAAATGAAGGACTTTATGGAGTCTTTTAACAATCATCAAAAAGGAAAAGGGAAGGAAAATTCTATGAATAAAGTCAACCTCCTGACAGCTACCACCCATACCCAGAAATTAGCCAAAAGACAAATATCCAAAGACAGTGTAGTGGTTGAACCCCAGGCCCTCGTAACAGTTGTAGGACAGATCCTGATGGATAAGCTGGGACTTCAACGTAGAAGTGGTCCAACAGAGGTATATGGGCATAAAGAACCCCCGACCCTATTGGGTAGGCAATTCTGTCAACCCAGGGGCTCTTCCTACCCAGATAAAAGACAAATGTTTAGAGAGATTGCCTCTCGTCCCCAAGCCAGCCCCAATGTCCACAGCCCCAAGAACAAGTGGATCAGAGACAATAATTGGAGCTTCAAGTCTAGGAATGTTGAGCCTCAAGCCACCGGCTTCCAGCTAAGGTCAATTGGGGTGAGCACTTTGAGCCACCTTCACCATTACCCAACATGTTTTTTTCAAAATGGTGATGTTCAAGGTCAACCAGGTCTTGTTTACCATGAGTTTCCTGGTGAAAAACCTTTCAGGAAATATTGAATTCATGGAGGGGGGAAACGTTTTGTCATCATTCGAACCCATTCTTTAAGGACGAATGTCTTCTTCCCTCTTGGGATTTCAATTGCTTCCCAATAAATTTTTTTTTCCTTTTCTCATCAGATATATTGATTTTTGTCAGTGTCCTCCTGTGGGGTATGAAGGGGGTTGGTGTCTGCTCTTCCTCAGAGTGGCTTCTAGAAGGGACAGGACATTCAGAGGAACCACCCTCATCTCAAATTATCTCATTGTACCTGAAGGATTCCTCAGTCAGTCATCACAGAAACAAACAAGAGAATGCCTTGAGCCTTCTCAGGATGAGGCAATCCTGTGAAGACCCCACTCCATCAGTCTTTTCCTTGCTTTCCTTCTCTCTGGAACTTTATACAGCTTTGGGGATGGGTGTATAAAAGTGACAGATTCTAGTAACTTCACATATTATAAAGTAGGCATGGGAATGTTGGGGGGGAAATTAGTGTGTTGGTCTTAAAGTCAGGAAAACCTTGCTCCTTAGATTTTCTAGTGAGAAAAGAAGTGTGTTTGATGGGGAAGCCCCTTCTCTCCCTGATAGTGTTTGGAATGTAGATGGGACCTGTCAATCCCTCTTAGCTCAGCCTTAATTACATAGCAGTGTCACTCAACTCCACATCTGCTTCCACCATTTTCTATAGCAGCAGCCAAGATAGAACGTACAGCTCTGCATCTAGGTGGGGCCACAAAGTGCTGCTGACTGCTGCATGCCCCCTGCCCATGGTCACCTGTCTTCTCCTCTAGAAGGGACTGTGCATAAACTAACCAACTGATGGTAGTACATGGTAGATCTAAAGTGGAATGTGTAGAAGAATTGATGTTTAGAGCCAAGACAGGAAGAAAAGTGGAACTGGATGCCATATAGAGTGCCATGGACAAGAAGCCACTGCCTTCCCATGCTAACTGCCAGACTAGCATGAGGAGACCAGATGGGCTGAGGTTTTCACTGGTTCAGCCTGGACCAATACCAAGGTCAGTCTGTTGTGGTTTCCCAGACTGCAGGACTGGAGAAAGATCTTTAGCTCTAACACACACTAGAGAGAAAGCAAAAGACTTCAAGCAAGGAAGGTTAAATTCCTAAGAGAAAATTTAGTAAGTCTGCTTCTGTCAATCTTTGCCTCTTAAATTCCAGAACAGATGACCTGACATTTGGTGGAGTATCCAGGACTAGGGAACTCTGGCTGAGACTCAGTCTAGGGACCTTGACACATGCACATGGCCTTAGCACTGCTTCCATGGACAAATTGAGTATCTAAAAGGGTCGAGGACCTGGCATAGGGTTTCAAAGCAGTTTTCTCCAGGATTCTAGAATTTGCTTGTCCAAAGACAAATGGGTGAAGAGATGATTTGACAGAATTTGTATATACAAATGAAAGTGACCTGTCCAAAATGTGGGAGATGACTAGACTGGAAGGCGATAAATATTGGTTTCTGCTGGGTCTCAATCTTCTTCTAGGAGAGGTTTCCTCTTTCAGGGGTCATCCACACAGAAAACCATGATGGCTGTAAAACAGTGAGAAGAGTTATCATTTCCCTGGGCCATTCCATACTATTCCACATGCCTATGTGGGGTGGGCAATGGGCTTCACCATAGTGGTCTTATTTATTCCATGGTGGAGATACCTGTGCCAGGAAGTGCCACCAAGGAAAAGAATACACTCATAGGTCCAGTCTCCACACCTGTCAGGATTCTGAATGTGGAACTAGGAGGTAAGTTGGGGTATGGATTGCAAAGTTCTCTGCTGAACCAGGCCCTGTGTCTCCTGAAAGGATGAGTAGTACAGAGGGCCACGTTGATAAACCAGCCTGAAACAGCAAAGATCAAATCCTGTGACTACTGGTGGTGCTGCTCTATAAAGGGCAGTAAGGTCAGTGAGAGGGAGACCCCACAAAGACCCCCTGGAGACCTCCGCACAGATCCACACTGAGACCTCCAGAGACTCCACAATATCTTCAGAGATTCCCACAGGGACCTCCATAGATACTGTCACTGAAACCAACAGAGAGGTCCCAAAAGACCTCCCAAATCCCTCCAACTAAGAGATATTCATAGACTACAAATGAGATCCTCAAAGAGATTTCCATCACAGACCCACATCAAGAACAATTTCTCAAAGACACTTGGAGAGAAACCTCAGACAGAGACAACACACTGAGAAGACAGACCTCCCACAGAGAACTCATATCCATTCTTAGGAGCCTGTGCAGCCACACAAGAATAGGTCTTTTGCAGTGCACCTTACCAAAGTGGAAATACAGGAAGGAGATCTTCAGCTGAATCTAGCTCCTTGGAATGCCCACATATTTGTGTATTTGAATAATGTCATTTTTCTTCTAAAAAAGCGTTACAGTTTCCACAAGCAAATCTGTAAAATCCTTTCCTAAAGATCTGTAAATTCTTTCCTAGTTTTTCATTAGCTTGAGTACCGACCCCAAATTTAAGGAATCACAAACTTCAAAAATGAGTAAACTTCTGCCGACATCTCATCACAGATAACGAAATATTTTGGTGGTGATGGGAATGGAACTCAGTAGGAGTGTCTATGGAGGTCTTGTAGGTCTCTGGAGGTCTCAGCATGAGGGATTTGTGAAGTCTCTGGAAGTCTCAGTGTTTATCTTTGTTGGTGGCTCTGTGGAGGTCTCTGATGGGGACTCTGGAAGGTGTCTCTGTCACTGGCCTGATTGTCTTTCCTGGACAAGTGCACCAGAATTTACAGTCAGATGGAAACTTCTCATATTATGCAAATGTCCTACCACTGAGCTATACCCAAATTCCTGATGAGATAAATGTTTTATTTTGTATAACTTTAGTAATCAACCATCAAAATGGCATAGAGGACTGCATTTTTGTTTTATTGGGGACAAGACCTGAACTCAAAATTACTGAGTTTTTAGGTTGGAAATATGATGAAGTGGATGCTCAGTAAAAGCACTTGGGAGCAAGATGAACCAGCAGACATAAAAACTGACTCACTCTAATTTACTTTCACCTGCACAAAGGATTGTGGTGAAAAGGATGGATTATCCTGGAGGCAGGGCAATAAAAGGAGAATGAGCTCCAATCCACATGCAAAGGCAAGTATGATATCCATTGCCCAGGTGAGGAAGCTGGGGTTCAGCCATGAGGGATTAACACTATTTAGAGGAAAGAGAGGATTCTCCATCATCTAAATTGCACTGTGTCACTTGGACAAATGAGTCCTGAAAGTCTCTTCAGCAATGGAGAGTAGGGCCCAGGCCTATGTCACTGAGCTGTGCCCTCTCACCACAAAGGAATCCTGTCATTCAGGGAAGGACAAGAAGAGGAATCAGCACCACACCTCTGCCCTTCCCTCCAGCCAACATGTCCTCCACCCTTCCTGGGCCTTCTAGATCTTTCCTTCAAACTCCACTTACTCACCCTGTCAGAGAAGACCTCAGTCTATTCAATATTCTTTTCTCCTGGAACATAGACATCACATGCTTCCTTGTGGCTCTTTGAGCTCCATCAATTTCAAAGTGTTTGAAAATTCTTATTATCTCTGGAATTTTTATTTCTCCGGGATTATTACTTTCAGGATCTCTTCTCTTTGAAATTTCAATTCTTCTATACAATATGTTCTTGCATTGATCAATTCAGCATAGAAATGAAATTTCTCTAATGCTTATTTACTTATGCTAATTTTAAATAAAAGCTTTCCAATTTTACTTTACATTTATAATTATCTATTCAAAGCACAATTTTTATGACTCTTTATATAAAGTATGTTAATGCCAAATTATGCCATTATACATGAACTCTCTCATTATTTTTTGCATTACAATACTTAATACACTTTTATACCACAATGTATCATATGCCTATTTGTATATAAGGTATGTTGGCACCAAATTCACATCTTCATACATGTATTTTTTATAATAATGACCATTTCCTTCCACCATCCTTGCTATTCCCCTTCTCCCTCCCTTTCGCTCCCACCCCTATTCCCTATCTAGAGGTAATCTTCCTCCCATACTCTCCACTGGCTCTAGGCTCAGCGATTCCTTTGACACAGAATGTACAACTTAAAAAAAATTCTAAAGGAAGGCTTTGGAATGGAAGAAACAGTTCATTTTTATGGGCCAGAATATATGTGCCTTGACCAGGCAAACTTCATTTTACCCTGACACTCCATTTCACATAAGAAATGTTTCTCCCATAAGAAAATCCACCTCAGCCACCCTGATCTTGCTTAGCATACTCTGCTTAGAAATGCACAGCCTTGGAAAATATTTCTGTTAGTCTTATATAATGCAATTGTTCTCTTTTTAGTTCTCATTTGTTTTCCACTGTTCCCTGACTGTGCTGGGTCATTCTGACCCACTCCCTTCATTGCTATGGTTTTGACTCACTGGTGGCTTTTTTTTTCACTATAAGACTGTACCCTACCTTCTACAAGGGGCCAAAGGTTGCTACAAGGTCTTCTACAAGGAGATGACTTTCCTAATGTCCTTCTGACCCACTAGTGAATACAGGTTCCATGTCTTGCTCCAAGACTTACCCGCTGATTTATTTCAAACATGCCACAACACATTCTTAGATTTGAGAACACTTTACATTTATTTGTAAAAGGGTGTATGAGGGTAGGGGATAATATTTGGGGATTTCTGTGTGTGTGTGTGTATATGTGTGCATGTGTGTGTCGTGATGGGCAAAGGTACGATATAGGCAGTTGAGGGAAGAAATAAAGAATATACATGAGTTAGTGCAATTTTCAATGCTTTATTCACTCAAATCATTCAATACAACTTCACGCTATAGGTTCTCTTTATTTTTAATATTTTGTTTTAGTTGTAGTTGGACACAATACCTTTATTTTATTTTTTGTGTGGTGCTGAGGATTGAACCCAGGGCCTTACATGTGCTAGGCAAGTACTCTACTACTGAACTACAACTCCAGCTGTTCTTAATCCTTAATGATGGGCACTGCAATAGATATAATCAATTCAAAACAAACAATTCTAGGTCAATTCTAAGCACTACATACATACTTAATCATGACAGACATTCCCTCTGCTTGCTAAGCTCAAGTGCCAGATCTAGAGTCTCAGGTCCTGGTCCTTAAGTCCAGCAGATGCACACTCACTCAAACTCCACAGTGATCAGGTCAGGAATATATGGAGGCTTCTCATTGGGTGGAGCTGAAGGCTAGTTGAGGAGAGGGTCATAAGGAGAAGCTGCTGTTCTCATCCAGGGTCAAGATGTGGCTGTAGAGTTGCAGAGCGGTAAGGATAATGCAGAAGATCAGGTAGATGATGAGGAGAGTTGGGATGTCAGTCCACATGTCCTCATCAGACTCTCCAGCATGTAGGCATCAGTGTCATTTGGCTAAATATCTGTTCATCTGCTACATCATTTATACTAATTTTGGGGTTTCTGCTTGCCCTTTCAGTCTCTATAAGCTGTTACTGGGTTTCTTAGTGATGTCTTTCATTTTAGGGTTAGGACATTCTAGGGTCTGGTGGTTTCTGCCACAATCTCTCACCTCTGATTTTTATCAGGGTAAAGGCAAATGACAGTGACTTCACTCTTGAGTTTTATCAGGGTTGTGGAAAATGACTTATTTTATTAGACTCACTCTGCCTTATAACAATATTAGAGGGCTTTGAAGGTTTGTCTGGCAGGAATTCTAGTTTTATTTTAACATGGAGTTTTTAAATGGAGTTGCTTAGGCTAAGGCCATCCTTACACTGTGTGTGTAGACATGAATCCCAAAATTCTCTTGAGTTTAACTTTTACCGATTTTACAAAAAAAAAAAAAAAACCCTACTAAAAACATACAAAAGTATATCTTGAGAGGTTATTTCAATTTTTGTACTTAATTTTGTAAATTTGTAATGATCATGTATCAATTCTTTTGTCTAAACACTCTAGTTGAAGATAGTAAAATAAATTTGAAAAGCTTTTATTTAAAATTATCAGAACTAAATAAGCATAAGAGAAATTTCAGTTCTATGCTGTTGATCAAGGCAAGAACATATTGTATGGAAGAGTTGAAGTTTCAAAGAGAAGAGATCATGAAAGTAATAATCCCAGAGAAATAAAATTTCCAGAGATAATAAGAATTTCCAAAACCTTGAAATCATGGAGCTCAAGCAGAGATTTACAAGAAAGTAGGTGATATTTGGGTTCCAGGGGAAAACAATACTGAATAGACTGAGGTCTTCTCTGACATGGTGGGCAACTGGAGTTGGAAGTAAAGATCTAGAAAGCTCAGAAAGACAGAGGACATGCTGGCTGGAGGGTGGGGCAGGGGTGTGGTGCTGCCTCCTCTTCTTGCCCATTCCCCAATGACAGGATTCCTTTGTGATGAGAAGGCACAGCTCTGTGACATAGGCCTGGGTACCATTCCCCATTCCTGAAGAGAATTCTCAGGACTTATTTGTCCAAGTGACACAGTGAAATTCAGATGAGGGAGAATCCTCTCTTTCCTCTAAATAGTGTTAATGCCACATGGCTGAAACCCAGTTTCATCACCTGGGCAATGGATATGATCCTTGCCTTTGCATGTGGCCTGGGGATCTTTCTCCTTTTTTTTTTTTTTTTTGGCCCCACCTGCAGGGTAATCCATCCTTCCCACTACCAAGGAAAAAAGAAAAAGGAAGGTAAGAAAACCCTTAGGTCACATCCAACAACAATAAAAACAATTCTTTTGTCTAATTTCCTTTCCGCTTTTCCAAAATAATTAGACACACTTCTCAGGACAGAATAGAGGATCATTATGGGGTAGTCAGGGCAGGGCAGAGAGAGAATGCACTAGGATTTATCCTATATGAGAGTCTCAGACCACATATAGAGGTCTTGACTTCCAAGAGTGCTGGGAACCTGTGGAGAAATACAGGCCCTGAAAATTGCTCCATCAGTCACCTTCTCCTGGTAAGTGTCTCTGAAACAAGGCTTTCCTCTGAATTGGGCGGAAGTGGGCCTCAGGGCCTCCATCACAGGCTCTCAGGTCACCTCTGCCTTAGGAAGCAGAACCTTGCCTGGCAGCTGAGAAGAGCCTGTGGAAATGACTCTATTCTTAAGCAGAGGATCAGTGACTAAAGACATTCAAGGTGTAGTTTATGGATAAAATCCCCTTTTGTGCTTTTTACAGAATAAAAATGAAGTATTTTAAAATTTTAAATTGTTCTCTGAATAAAAGGGTTTCCATTAGCTAACTGTAGAAGTCCTGCTGTTCAGAAACATGGAATATCTACAACTGGTCAAGGAGAGCATAGAGAGAAATGGGCCTCAGCCTCTTTTTCTATATCGTCTGTCAGCATGTGAAGGTGAAGAAAGTGCTGTACTAGAGGAGGAAGAAGAGTGGACCTCTGAAAGGTAAGGCTCTGCGCTTTTACCCCAGAGGTGGTTTGTAGTCCCATTTCTCCAAGAGTTCAGAGCCCCAGATGTTGGTTGCAAAGATCTGAGAGGGAGGATGATGGGAAGGAAATCATCATACCGGAGACACTTTTCAGTTTTGTGCTCAGAAAATGTGGTGGGCCAGGTGTGGATGACCTCCAGTAGGGTGGTGTGGGCGGCACTGGAGCAGCAGTGCCTAGATATGGAGATGGGACTTTCAGGTCCAACTGAGGTCAAGCTGTTTCATTTGGTTAAGGCCAATTTCTCTTTGAGGTAACCAATCCTTTCCCACGATAAGGTGCTTGTGAGGATTATGGAGGTGGATGGAGGTAAAAATACCCTGCAAATGATAAAATGTGGTTCTTCCCAGAGTCTTTATATGACTCTCACTGGTCATTTAGACTTGGACACTGAGACTTAGCCTCCAGTCTCATCTCCCATGATCTCCCCTAAAGGGGCATTGCACTTAACATCCTGTAAAATCTGGGATCCTCCCTTCTCTACCACAATTCATTTTCCATTTCCAGCTTTGGGAAATCACCTGAAGACAATCTGATGGAGATTCAGAATCTGACTTTACTCCTGCAAAGGTGAGGAATTTCCCAGTTCTCTATAGTGTTCTTCCCATCTGGATCTGTTATGTGATCCCTGAGGCTCAAGGCTGAAGCTAGTAGGAAGACTCTACTAGCTTAGAGTGCAATATGACCAAAGCCCTAGGGTTAGGAAAAGCAAGAGCTTGGTGAAGCCAGTGTGCAAGGCAGTGGAGGATCTATCGGCCACAGGTTGTCACCCCTGCCTAGCCTCTGGGCCCTTCATGCTCTTGTCTATAGCTTGTGCCTCTTGTCTCCTGCAGTATCCTAGGGAAGCTCTAGGACAAGAACAGTTCTCCTAAACCACTACATGAAGATACTCCAGGTGAGGTGTTCATGCAAGGGCCTGCTAGAGTTTAAGTGCCACCTCGTCAACATTTGGAAGATCCTTCTACCATCTTATCCCCATTAGGTTCTCTAGTTCCTCTGACAAAACACACTCTGCCTCTGGCCTCATCCTTATCAGAAGAACATGAACACAAGTCTGACTTCAATATAATCTCACTGGACATTGTTCCACAGAGCTCCCTTGTAGGTCACTCATATTGGGCATCCCTGATCACAGCCATCTCAGGCCTAGACTGCATAAGCTATTCAATTTCATTCCTCTCCTGGTGGTGGGAAACTGCAAAGCTCTTATTCTTCTCTACCTGGGTAAACAAATCCAAGCAAGAACATCTTTTCCACCATCCTTCAGATGTCACACTCTGGGTAGACCCCACACGTTGGCAGGTAGAGCCTGGCGGCCTCTCTTTCATCAACTCTGATGTACAGACACTGCTGGAAATGCTGATCACCAAAAGAGTAGAACTAAATGTGTGGAAGGAAAATTTTAAAAATGGGTCCTCTTTAAATCAAATGAGTCCAGATTACACCCTGTATTCTCTGGGAAACATGTTGGAGTCACTGGGTGGCAGGAGAGACACCACTGCACAAACCTTCTGGAACACAAAAGAAAAACCAGAGCAGCTTCATGATTCTCAGAATTTCTTTTACAACAAGGTCTTGGGGGGGGGGCCTTTAGAGAAAAAATACAGCCAGCTGTTCTGGGGCCTGCCCTCTCTGCACAGTGAGTCCCTGGTGGCTACTGCCTGGGTCTCCAAGAAGTCCTCTACTGCACAGTGTAAACATGTAGCATTCAACAAAGTCTCAGAATCTCTCTCAGTATAATATCAGGATGAAGAACTTCCACAGCTTTCCTGGGAGGAGCCCTTGGCCCAGGAGAAGACCCAATCCTAACTTTTGACACAAAACTTGTCCCCATCTGTGGCTCTGGGTCAGACTCTGGCTAGCACTTCATACACTTTTCCAAACTTACCACCTTCTTCATCCCAGATTAAATCTGGCACAACAACTAGCACTAAATCTGAAAAAGAGGCACAGTCTTTCCTCCCAACTGAAGATCAACATTCAGAATGTCCCTTGCATAACTGAAGGGAATGGAAAAAGGTCTTATTGTCTGAGATCAAAAAGACTCTGGAAGTCATTAACCAGCCAGCTCTCAACCTTCCCCAGGGAAGCTAAGCCTCCCAAATTTCTAACTCTGTCTCCATAGTTGCTGGGGATTCTGCCAGCCAGGAGCTAGAGAAAAGACTCCAGCAACATATTCAAGGGGAGTTAATCAGTGATCAACAACAGCTCAACCCTCCCTATAGATTTCTAACATCTCAGGAACAGATGCAGCCTCAGGATAAATTTTCCAGGAAGAGTCAGTGGTGGAAAAATGACAAGCCTGGCCCCTCACAATCCAACCAGGAAGCACTTGCTGGTAGGGGTTTGAAGAAGACAGAGTCCAGGCGCACTGAAAGACTCTCTACTATGGGCTCTGCAACATTCAAACTAGTTTTCCCAAACAAGGGTCTAGAGGCAGAACTGCAGAGGGAGCCAGTACATTTATCCTGGATTTCAGGAGCACCTCAGAGAAAGTTTAGAATGACACAATAAGGAGGTTTCAGAAAGATACTTGAGGAGGACCAGGAAGGGTATTTCAGAAAGTGACTTATCTATAGGCAAAGACAAAAAAATTATGGAAAAAATCCTGGAAGACCATCTGGGCAGAAAGTTAGTGCAGATCGAGGAGGGCATGATCCCTGTGTGTGTGCATGAATCCTAGCTTGCTGACAACTATGCTTTTCCAAAGTCCTACATGCCGCAAACCCCATCCATCTAGCCTCCTCCAAGAATCAGCAATCTTATATGAACAACTTTCATATGTGAACAACTTTCAGGAGCTTTCTTTCCTTGAACTTCCATGAATTCACCCGAAGCTAGAAACACATATTATGAGGTCTCAGGTGAGGCATAGGTGGAGTCCATTCCTCCAGGCTCTTGATCCCATTAATCGCCAGTTAGGTGAGGCTCTAGCCTAACCCCACTCACAGCCTATTTTTCCCTCCTCAGCCTCCCTTGACTAAGGGGCCTTTTCCAATGCCCAGGATGAAAGTCTCCTAGAAGAAATTCCTCAGAAAGGTCTGGGAAAGAGAGTAATAAGAAAGATTCATTTCCCACTTTACAGAATCCCCTTCCTTCATTCTCACCTTCAGAGGTATAGAGGACCTAGAAAAGAACCCCAGTGGGTGGCAGTCATAGGACCTCACAGGCCTCATGCCTTCTCATACCTATAGCCTTCTGATGATGAAACAGCAGAGTTACTAGGGGGATTTGAAAAGCTAGCCTGGAGCCCAGTCCAAGTGTGGATATGGCCAAATAAGAGACACAGAGAGTAAAGATGTGGTCTCAGGAGACCCATGTCATGGTGTGACAATGCTGGAAGTTAAAGTATGTTCCCAATCATCAACAGCTGCAAAGACTAAGGAGAGAGAGAGGTGGAGAAGAAGAAATCCTCTGAATGGGAAATGACAGTGGAAGCCTCTATAATGGCAAACTCCCAAATCATCAATGTGAATCTGAAAAACTTAGGGTCTCTGGAAAACATGAAAAACTCCTACCCTTCTAGATTTTCTATTTCACAAGATCCAAGAGACCCAAATCTGAAAGAAAAGGTAGGTAGTGGTATTCAGCTCAAAGTAGGGTTCAAATCAGAGAAGCAGTCCTAAGACCAGGTCCCTGGAGTCCTGAAAGATTGCCACACTAATGAGCCCTCCACCATTGATATCTTGCCTTCTTAGGCATCCCTGCTAACTCCCAGAGCTTTTCCAGGATTAACAAGTCAACTTCCCCAGATATATGTTATGATCTAATGAAGGGAGGGAATAGCTAGGGGCAGGAGAAATCCAAAGTCACAAATGTTATGGTTCCAGGAAAGGATGAGAATGAAATGCTTTGTCTAAATGAAAGCAAAGAGAGCTTTGGGAGGTCCAGACCAGGAGAGGAGAAAGAAAGTTCCCAAGACTGTGGGTTGAGCCCTCCTGACAAAGTCAAGAAAATAGACACTATTTCAAGCAAGTCCTTCCCTTGCCTTAGTGAGAAGGTATGGTATCCTCCAGAAATCTAGGTCAAGAACAAAATGAAGAACTTTCTGCAGTCTTTTAACATTCATAAAAAAGGAAAGGGGAAGGAAAATTCCCTGAATAAAGAGAAGCTCCTGACAGCTACCACCCATACCCAGAAATCAGCTACAAGCCAAATATCCAAGGACATTAGGGTGGTTGAACCCGAAGCCCTCATGACTGTTATTGGACAGATCCTGATGCACAAGCTGGGACTTCTACATAGAAGTGGTCCAACAGAGTTATTTGGGCATAAAAAGAACCCCATACCTTATTGGGTAGGCAATCCTGTCAACCCAGGGGTTCTTCCTACCCAGAGCAAAGGCAAAGGATTAGAGATTGCCTCTGGTCCCCAAGCCAGATCCAAGGGCCACACTGCCAAGAACAATCGGACAGTAATTAGACCTGGAAGCCTAGGAATCCTGAGTCCCCAGCCACCCACTTCCAGCATAAGCCAATTGGGGTAAGCACTTCAAGGCACCTTCACCATTACCCAACATGTTTTTTTCACACTGGTATCCTGCATGGTCAACCAGGTCTTGTTTACCATGAGTTTTCTGGTGGAAAGCCTTTCAGGAAAAATTGAATACATGGGGAGAAAAATTGTTTGTCATTATGTGAACCCATTCTCTGATGACTAATGTCTTCTTCCTCTTGGGATTTTTATTGATTTTTCAATAAATGTTTCTTTTCTTTCTTTTTTTCTAATTAGACATTTTAAATTCTCTCTGTATCCTCCTGTGGGGGTAGGGAGGGGTAGGGATCTGCTCTTCCTCAGAGAAGCATCTGGAAGAGACAGGAAACTCAGATGCCCACCCTCATCTCAGATTCTCTCATTGTACCTGAAGGATTCCTCATTCAATCATTACAAGAACAAACAATAGAATGCCTTGAGACTTCTCAAGATTAGGTGACCCTGTGAAGGTCCCACTCCACATCTGACTCTGTCAGTCTTTCCCTTGCTTTCCCCCTCTCTGGAACTTTATAAGCTTTGGGGAATGGGTGTAAAAAAGGTGTCAGAGAGTCTAGTAGTTTCACATATTTCAAAGTAGGCATGGGAAAGTTGGGGGTGAATTGATGTGTTGATCTTAAAGTTAGGAAAATCTTGTTTCTTAGATTTTTCTAGTAGGAAAAGGAGTAGGTATGATGGTGCAGCCCCTTCTCTCCATGATAGTGTTTGGAATGTAGATGGCACCTTCCAACCCTTCTTAGCTCAGCCTTAATGACGTGGCAGTGTCATTCAATACCACATCTGCTTCCACCATTTTCTAGAGCAGCAGCCAAGATAGAACTTGCAAGATAGCACTTGCAGTGCTGTTGAATGCTGCATGGTCACCTGTCTTCCCCTCTAGAAGGGACTGTGCATACACTAACCAACTGATTGTAGTGCATGATAAATCTAAAGTGAAATTTGTAAAATAATTGAAATTTGTAGCCAAGAAAAGTGGAAGAGTGAAATTGGATGCCATAAAGAGTGCCACAGACAGGAAGCCACTGCCTTCCCTTGCTAGCTACCAGGCTAGCATGAGGAGACCTGATGGGCTGAGCTGTTCACTGGGTCAGCCTGAACTCATTCCAGAGTCACTCTGCTGTGTTCCCAGACTATAGGCCTGGAAATAGCCATTTATCTCTAACACACACTAGAAAAAATGCAAAGCATTCAAGTAAGGTAGGTTAATTTCCTAAGAGTAAATTTAGTAAGTCTGCACCTGCACATCTTTGCCTCTCAAATTTCAGAACAGATAACCTGACATTTGGTGGAGTACCCAGGACTAGGGAACTCTGGCTGTGACTCAGTCTGGGGACTTTTACACAAATACATGGCCTTAGCACTGCTTCCATGGACAAAGTGAGTATTTAAAAGGGTAAAGGGCCTGGCATAGGGTTTCAAAGCAGTTTTCTCCAGGATTCTAGAATTTGCTTGTCCAGAGACAAATGGGTGAAGAGATGATCAGACAGAATTTGTACATACAAAAGAAAGTGACCTGTCCAAGATGTGAGAGTTGACTACACTGGAAGGAGATAAATATTGGTCTCTGCTGGGCCTCACTCTTCTTCCAGTAGAGGTTTCCTCTTTCAAGGGTCATCCATACAGAAAACCATGATGGCTGTAAAACAGTGGGAGGAGGGATCATTTCTCTGGCATATTTCATACTATTCCACATGTCTATGTGGGGTGGGCAATGGGAACTCATATAGGGGTCTTATTTTTCCCTGGTGGAGAGTCCTGTATCAGGAGATGCCACCAAGGAACAGAATACACTCATTGGTCCAGTCCCCATATCTTTCAGGACCCTGAACGTGGGACCAGGAGGTAAGCTGGAATATGAGTTAGAAAAACCTCTGCTGAACCAAATCCTGTCTTTCCTGATAACCACTGTAGCCTCTAGGGTGGACCCAGCAACAAGAATGGAGCTTGGAACAAGAAGGACTGGAAAGGATCTGGAGTCTTTAGCCTATCATTGCTGGATTATCTCAGGGATGCAAACTGTAACTTACAGGAATAAAGGGGCTGAACATGAACTTCAGAGTTCCTGAAAGGATTAATGTTACATATGGCAATGTTGATAAACCAGACTAAAACAGCAAAGAACAAACCCATGGCTTCTGCTACTGATCCTCTATGAAGGGCAGCAAGGTCAGTGATAGGGAGACACCCCATAAAGACCCCATGGAGATCTCCAGAGATCTGCATTGAGACTTCCAGAGACCCCACAAGATCTACAGAGATTCCCACAGAGATCTCCATAGATACTCCCACTGAGACCACCACAAAGGCCCAAAAGAGGCCCCATAAGGGCCTCCAACTAAGATATTCAGAGACCCAAATGAGATCCCCCTAGATATTTCCAACAGAGACCTACATCAAGAACAATTTCTCAAGGAGACTTCAAGAGAAACCTCAGAGACAATACACTGAGAAGACAAACCTCCCAAAGAGAACTCATATCCACTCTTAGGAGCCTGTGCAGTCACACAAGAACAGGTCTTTTGCAGTACACCTTACCAAAGTAGAAACACAGGAAGGAGATCATCAGCTGAACCTACCTCCTTGGAATGCTGATGTATGTCTGTCTGTATTTGTACAATGTCATTTTGCTCCTGAAAAAGCTTTTCAGATTCCATATGCAAGACTATAAATTCCTTTCCTAATGATCTGTAAGTCCTTTCCTAATTTTTCATTAGCTTGAGTTCTGATCCACAATTTAGGGAATCACAAACTCCAAAAATGAGTATACTTCTGCCACTATCATAATTGATAACAAGATATTTTGGTGGTGCTAGAAATGGAACTCAGTGGAAGTGTCTATGGAGCTCTTGTAGGTCTCTGGAAGTCTCAGCATGAGGGATCTGTGGAAGTCTCTGAAAGTGTTGGTCTTTGTTGGTGGCTCTATGGAGGTCTCTGATGGAGACTCTGGAGGGTGTCCCTATCACTGGCCTGATTGTCTTTCCTGGAGAAGTGCACCAGAATTTACAGTGAGATGGGGCCTGCTCATGTTACGCAAATGTCCTACCACTGAACTATACCTCAATTCTTGATGAGATAAAGGTTTTATTTGTATAAGTTTAGTAATTAACCATCAAAATGGCATAGAGGATTGCATTTTTGTTTTGTTGGGAACAGGTCTTGAACTCAAAATAGCTGACTTTTTATGTTGGAAAAATTATGGAGTGCTCAGTAAAAGCACTTGAGAGCAAGGTGAACCAGCAGACATGTGACTCACTCTCATTGACATTCACCTGCACAAAGGATTGTGCGGCTACCAAATTTTCTGAAATATATATCTTTTTTAAAATAAAACAAGCCATGCTCTCAAACATAAAACTTTTCAGAAATAAGACATTAAACTACAAATCATAATGCTTTAATAATACCCTCAGTGGTACTAAACACTGTGACCCTAGGCTGTGAAACGGTACACCATGACCAGTGCCAAACCATAGCAGAGGGTTGGTAAGCTGTTGTTCTTTAGTCTTCTAAGGAAATTGTATGCACAGTATAGAGGGGTCCTCAAGTGGTGTTGAGCAGTTTCAGTTTCACTTGTTTCCTATTCCCCAAAGACAATGATGACGTAAAAATGTTAAATGGAAAATTTCAAAAAATATGTTTTCAACAATTTATATATATATTTTTTTCTATATAATTATTAGTTACTGTTAATATCTTTTATGTCAAATTTATGTCAATCTCTATCATAGATGTGTGTATATATATATGTATATGTATGTGTATATATATATTAATATAAAAATATACATATGGAATATCATGGGAAGATTTTTTAGATCATGTAAGCAATTCTAGGTAAAGAAAAGATGACTCAAGACAAATATAGTGGCTTGACTAGAAAGGTGAGAGTGTTAAAATGTTGGACAAAATTAAACATTAGATCAGTATCTGACATGCCAGTTTAAGCCTGGAAATATAAGAAACATTTTTCTTCCACTGCATTACTTCAAGGGTTCTGAGAGATTATTTAAGTAATAATGCAGTTTGACACAAGGCAACACCTGAAGTTGTTAGTACTTGTCACTTAAGTATGACAAGTTGAGAAGCAGAAGTATTTCAATTTTGATTTCAAAAGAAATTTCTTGGACGCATCTTAGATACAATGTGGTAAAATAAAAGCCTACCGCAGTCAAACCACTATAAACTACCTTCCTTACCCTTATGCTGTAGGGATATTGTTGTTTCACACACAGTTATTTTTAACAGAAGGGTGGGCCAGATACACTTGCCAAGGTGAACCAGATATCACTAAGTTTCAGTGAATGTTTGGAAATGTTGCAACTTGCTCCCAGACATGACCATCAAATGACATTTCATGGGACCATGATACTGTCTTCAATAATGCTTAAATACAAAAAAGGGTGGTGGGAAAAACTGCTAATTTACAAATTTTAGAACATGAATGTTTGTGCTCTCTGGAGCAGAAGTCTATTTTTAAAATTATCCTATTGTTTTCAGGGGTTATCATGTTTATGTTCTTTTTATCAGGGTCACATTTTCCCCCTCAATCACCATATGGAAATTTTAGCAGTGTTCACATTCTTCCTCATTAAATATGCTACGAAAATGAACAGTATTTGTTTTGGTCAGCTTTTTCAATGCAGACCCAACCAGCACAATTGCATGGGGAGGAAACTATATTTGAGGGCTCATAGTTTCAGAAGTCTTAGTCCAAAGAATGCTGACTCCATTCCTCAGTGCTCTAGGTGAGGCAGAAAATCGTGATGGAAGAGTGTGGCAAAGCAAAATGGCTCACAAGGTGAATAGGAAGTAGAGAGAGATATACTCCATTCTCCAGATATAAAATATAAGCCCCACAGCCATGCCCCCAATGAACCCCTTCCTCCTCAGGCCACACCAAACCTGCCTCCAGTTAATCCCATCTGGGATTAGTTCCACTGATTATATTAAAGCTATAACCCATTTGTGTCTCCTCCAAACATTCTTATATTGTCTCACATGTGAACTTTTGGGAGACACCTCACATCTAAGCCATAACACAAACATTCAAATATTATAAATGGTTTCTTCATTTTATGTTATTACATTGATACTATACTGTTTTCTTCAGGAGTTACATTGTGGGGCTTATTAGAATCCTTGGCCCACCACTGGCACAAGAAATTTCATGACCAATAGAGATAAGAATATTAAATGAATGGTATCAGTAGGCCCAAGCTGAGACAATTTGAAGGAGGGAGAATAAAACAATCAAAATCTTATCAGCGAGTATAATATTAATTTATACATTATCAAAATATATAAAATTTGGGAGTAGGAGAGTTAAGTCAATATTAGAAAATGCATTCAAGTTTGCAAGGCACTTCACTCTTGGTCTGTTTATTCCCTCAAGTATTGACTGGATTTGATTAGGAGATCTATAAGTTTTCATTAGTTTCTAAAACTCTAGATTTATGTCTCCCAATTGAAGCTAAAGATTTTCCCGAGGCTTCATTTTCCCCCCCACTGGTGAGTGGAAACAGAACATAATATGCAGTGATAGATAAACAGAAATGGGACTGGTACTCACACCAAGATGTGAAAATATACAGCAGTAATACAGCAGTTGTCCATAATCTTTGATTTTGCCTTAGATCTTTCAGGTATCTGTGGTCAATAGTAGTCTAAAAACATAGCATAGTACAATAAACTACTTTGAAGAACAGAGATAGCACCACACCCACATAACTTTTATTATAGTATTTTCTCATAACTATTCTGCTTATTGCTTAACAATTGAACTTTATATATGTGTGCAGATACACACACACACACACACAATTAGTGTATATATATATATATATATATATATATATATATATATATATATGAACATGTGTATGTTTTAGCCTCCTTATGATTATATTGCCTAATTCCAGTTTTAGTTGGAAAATACTGGTTTATTTTTGTTTGTTTCGTTTTGTTTTTGTATTTTTATTCTGCAAAAGATGGTACATCATAATTATACAGGAGATTTGAAGCCTGAGTCTCTCTCCAGAAGTTTCTGCTAGGTCTGCTTGTCCTTGAGTTGGGGAAATTCCCTCTGTGTTCAACTACACTGAGAATATCTTCAGCTGGCTTCAGATCCCCCTCACTCTGTCTCTAATATCCCTGAATTACATGAGACTAAAGAGTTAGCCCCTCAGGAAAACTCTGGATGTTTGTACTACTGATCCACTATGGCTTTGTAATGAATGATCAAGCATGTGATTTGTCTGAGAACATAAAGAACCTGAAGAGCACACTGGATATTTTTCTTTCTTCTCAAGAAAAAGTGAAGGTACACACTGACCTATTAGTAAAAATTGAAACACATTTAAAGGTACTGGTAAAAAACAAACCAAGAACTCTTTGTCTAGTTCTAGATTCCAAACATTTTCTCCTAAGTAAATTTTTTTTCTAAATACTTTAGAATCTTACATGTTATATTCAAGTCTGTGATCCATTTTGAGTTAATTAATGTGAAAGATGTTAGGGTAGGTTGAGAAAATTAAACCTTTAGTTTTTTCTTACATACCATGTGTTGAAAAGATTCTCTTTTTTTTCAAATAGTGATGTATCTTACTTAAAAAGGAACTGAGCATATTTCCATGGATTCAACCCGGAGTTCTTTGTTTCACTGATCTGCCAAGTTCTTTACCTATATCACACTGATTGATAAAGTAACCATAATGTAAACTCTCACTGTCCCATAAGATGATTTAAGTAATTTACTCTTTTTCTATAATTGTCTTAGCTATATGAGGTGTCTTTCTGCATACATGTTTAAAAGCTTATCTATATGCATAACAATTTTGCTGAGATTTGGATATAAATCCCATTAACTTCATAGATCATCTTGGAGAGAACTAACATCTTTACTTTCCTGATTCCTCCAAACTATCAGAAAGGTTGTCTGAATTTATTTTAGATCTTTTCTTTCCACCTACTTCATGAACACTGTTTTTTCATCCTACAGATTCTGTACAAGTTTTGATAGACTTATGACTAAGTATTTTATTTCCTTTGGAAC